ATTCTTTGTGATATACAAACTATAAAGCCTAATTACTCTCTTAAATTAAAAGAAACCCATTTTATAAGACCAGAACATTACTTTCCTCCTTTTTCTACAGAAAGGATAAATGGCTTTTTAAGTCTTTTTTCCATCAAGATCTCTTAACTCAGGGCCTGTTAGCAAGCCAGTGTGCCATGTGCCATTGACATTCTGCTCAAGACACAATATAACAAGGGTAGAAGAACTGGCACAGTTGAAAGGTTTTTAGTCCAAATGTCTTTTCCTTGTCACATGATTATTTTCAGCATTACAAGAAACTCACATAACAATCTTGTATGCAATTCAGTCTCACTTCTTTTAGAATATGTTTTGGACTGATTTTCTCCTACTTTTACACACAAAAGTAGCCATGATTTTGTATTATATCTATTCACAACACTACTTGATAGCTACTACTTGATAGCTGTCCTTTTACATGTCGACTAGCATACTGTATGGTTATGGTCCTGTTCTCAAACATTATTACTTTAAGCACAAAAGCAGGCACATGACTGTACATTGACCTTCATCTGTTCCCAAATTATGTCTTTCAAAAGCCTTGAATCTGTTTAAGGAGAGGTGCTGAAACTTGAAACGAACGAGGTCTATTGACGCATGAAGTAGGTGAATGTAAAACTTAAGTATTATATTTCAAGCTCTTACTGTACCAAATACAACAAGATTAGGATAAAGGAGAATATAACTGGACCATGTGTCTGGTTTTAGAAGAAAATGTTTTGTTATAGGCATAGATGATTAGTTGGTAATATTTGGTATGTTTCTACCTCCAATTAGAAATTGCTATAAATCAGTAAATGGAAAATGTCCTCCTGGTCAGTTGTTATTTTTAATAGCAGTGATCTTTAAAAAAACAAACAAACAAATACATGCAACAACTAAGATCTTTACTTAGTTCTGACAGGCCCCAATATAAGAAGCATCTTGAAACACATTGCACTTAATGTGAAAAAGAAACATATTGCATTTAAGTGTTCATTTCTTGCACTCCAGGTCATTTTTGCAAGCATGTTTCACAATAAACAAACACTTCAGTCAGTTACTTTACTGAATAAGGTAACTGCACTAAGTGTATTTTGCTATGTGTTACTACCCAAACCAGCACATGCAGAATTACGTAACACTTAGGAGCAACACCTCAATAAACTTGTTATATAATTTTAATAAAAAAGGAATAATAAAGGACTATTACTTTTCTTCTTTCATTTTTAGTAGTCTTCAGTGTTATTTCTATAGATATAATAAATGAGTTCTGATAGTGTATGCTCTTCAAAGCAACATTAACTTGAATGCAATTCTGCAGGACTAGAAGAGGAAATATGTTATTTTCACATAGATAAGTGGCCTGCAAGTTAACAAATCTCTTGAAAAGTTGGTAAGTTTTTGACAATTGTCAGAGGGGAAATGTAACATTGATTGTGAGCATTTAATCTACTGAAAAAAGTACACTCAGGCTGGATGGGACTTCCAGAAATGTGATTCAGCCTCCTGCCCAAGGCAGGACAAACTTAGAAGTTTTATCTGGTTTCTCAGGGACTTCTCCAGTCAAGTTTTGACCTTCTTCAAGGATGATGTTCCTCAGCCTCCCTGGAGGAACTGTTCAGGGCTTAACTGCTCTCTGTCGGTATGTGTTCTTGTGTTGGGGAGACAATCTTTCCACTGCAATGTGAACCCAAATTTGGTAGAAATGTTGCCTTTTCTGTCTCTGCTGATACTCAGCTGCTTTTTGGCAACAGAGGTTTTGCGGATCTGCCACAGTAACTATTTGTTGTGTCAGCTGGTAAACAATTTTGCATTAAAAAAACCCAACACACACACACAACAACAACACTGACATGGAGGGATTGAGAATAAGCAATTATTTGTTTAGCATAAATTACAAACTAAGCATAGCAGAGGGGATTCCAGGACTGATATTCTACTTCTGACTGCTCTTGAGCTTTAGAAAGCTCAGGACCCACACACCGAATCTCACTCTGCCTAAGCCTGCACCTGCTCAAGCCAATATCAATAACTAAGAAAAGAAACTCTCACATAATCTGCACTATTTCATCTTGTGTCAACGTTATGTTAGCTTTCATTTGGTTAAATCTTTTTGTATTGCATCCTACTGCAATATATTGTCAGATTTTAAAAGTGACTCACACCTAAGGTGACGATTGCAGTTTTTTTGTTTTTGTCTTTATGTGATCTGAACAGTTGAAAAGAATAAATTCATACAAAAGTAACTTTTAGTAGTTTTAGCAGTTTAGCAGTTTTAGCAGTAATCTCTGCTGTCAAATGTTTTCCTGTATCAAGTTTATATTCTGATACAAATTTACTAATTTTGGCTTATTCTGACTTCATTTGAAACGGGAAGAAACACAGATGTCTCAAAGGAACCGAACATACAAGTTCACTGCTACACAGTAATGAAAGGAGCCTCAAGGACACGTTTACCTGTGCCACTGATAGAGAGTGCCAGATGAACACAGGCAACAGGGTCAGTGTCTGTATAATGACTTGCACAATGATTTTTTTGTTAAATATCATTAAATTCATCATACACATGAACTATATGTAAATATATAACTTCTTATGTATCTATATACACATATACATCTATATGCATATACATACACATGCATATACATATATATATATATACACACAGACCTAGCATCCTGATGTGCATGTTCAATTGAAGTAAATAATCTGAGTTAAAAAAAATCCTGGCATTTCAAGGCACTACAGCATTTTCAGAAGTAAAACAAATTTTGAATACTTCCAAGAAAACTGTCTTACTTATGCGACATATCGACAAAGTCCTCAAAGCGACAGCTACTTCCCAACTTCATGGACCAGGACGTGCATACAAGAAGCCCCTACTCTTACTGACTATTACTCTGTCCTCTTTGAGTCCTCTAATTATGATGTCCTCTTGCTCTTGGCTTTTAATAATAGATCCTATATGATCCTATATGAACACATTTTATCCTTATTGCTTTAATATCTTCCCATCTTTTAAAAATCACAGCTCTGATAAAAGGGGAAAAACTACATGCCACTGTGCAAAAGTATGATTTTAGTTTAAAGAACTAATGCAAGAACTACTTAGTAATACTGAAAAGAAAAAGGAACTATTTCCATAATAATCTTTGTGCATGTGTTTGTTTAATGTTCCAGAACAAATATGAACAGTCTTCACAGTATCAATAGTAAAACCAATTTTTTATAAAATCAAAGACAGTAACTATACCACAAATAACAAAATTTAGACCAGAATGAAACAGAGAAACCATCAGACAATTGCAGAGGGAAAGCTTAGCCATGCAAGCAGCCACAAACAGTCCTATGAACATACAAATGTCAGACTTTAATGCATTATACAGGATCTTGAACCTGACTAGGCTATATGGTAATAATTGGCTTCACATTAAAGACAGAATTTATGCAAAAATATGGATTTTCTATACGAAAAGCTCATGTTATTTCTTCAGTTTCACAACTTGCAATGAATTTACTTGTAAAGTGTGTTACACATGCTACAGTTCAACAGTAGTCACTAGTAAGTTAGGATGGCAGCTGTTGTACATCTGAAGCTAACAAATGTTATGTGACCAGAGATGACTGGCATGACATGTGGCTGTAGCCTTTTTATACAGTTATGTTCTCAAATATTTTAAAAATGTCCACCAAAGTCCTTCAGAAATACTGTTCCCAAGAACTTCATGGAAAAAAATATCCTTTAATATTTACCCCACTCAGCTGCATATACTAACAATGATAAACTAAAGTTGAAGAAAATAATAATAATAATTTATCCTTTAGGAAGTCACGCTCTTCTCCTTATTGTGACTTGAAGCTGGATTCACTTGCTTGAAAATAGAGGGCATGTGTTACATTTCCAGCAATCAATTATCATCCCAGCCTTTTTATCTCTGACCATAAATCTAGCACATGCCCATCTGGATAGAAAAATTGCAAACACAAAACTGTCTTCAAGATGAATTCCAAAAGCAAGTGTGAATTTCTGTATTAAAATATCTCTCCTTTTTTTTTGTCCTTATTCTCAAATATTACAAGCATTTTAATCAATCTAATATTTTCCTGGCCTTCCTGGAACTTTTACCCTCTTAATCTTTATATTGATAAAAAATGTTGCAACCACTGTATGTGAATCTCAGGCATCCACACATAAGGATACTCCCTGAAAGGATTTAAAGAATTCTGACAGAGAAAAAATTCCAAAGTGCAGTTGATTTTACCAACTTATTTCACACTCAAGAATAGTTATCCAAAGATTACTCTGGTTATGAGTCATAATTCTTTTGCTATTGATACTTTGCTTCATTTTTTTATATTTGATAGTTAGAAAATATTTTTCTGGGGAAAAAGTTGTTACCTCTGCTTTTATCTTTATTTTTCAGTTAAATAAATTTTCAGTGAGTAGATTAAATCTTAATACATTCAAAATAGACAAATATTTTAGCATTCAATAAAGCTGCGACTGGGTCTGTTTTACATATTCCCTATTTGCTATTATTTTGTATCAGCTGATCCTTGAAGTGCAGACCCTCTTTTTCTTCCCTGATAAGATAAATACAACTTGAAAGACAGAATAAAGTCACTGACCATTTATTTCTTCCTGTGTGCTTACGAGAAGATTTTAGTGTGCAGAAGAAATGCTACAAAAGTACTCATTTTCAAAGTTACTTGAATTAGGCTTTGCCTGAAACATCATCATTATGTAGCACTGATGGAAGGGAAAAAAAGTTAGTGTAGTTTGTTGAATTTGTTCAAACCTAAAACAGAGGTTACCTTATTGCAAATAGGTCACAGAGTCACACAAGAAGTGACACTTTAACAATAACTTGGAGGATAAAGAAGAGTTTCAACACAGTAGGATTTGGCCTATCAAAGATAATATGGAGTGAAATACATGGAAAGGCAAAGGGAAATAACGTGTTTCCATCTGTTACCTGTCATGTGTCCTCATAAAGTCCCACACCTTCTTAGAGCCATTCTGAGGAAAGAAAAAAAAATGCATCAGTGAAATGAATTTCAAGTGAAAACTCACTGAAATTAAATTAAATAACATTTTAACAAGAATTTCTTGCAAAACTTGCTGCAGTTGGTTTTATTTATGAAAACCTTTTCCTTGATTTTGATGATCTGTATTACATAAGTTGAGAATTGCCATGAGGAGATCCTGTTGTGGATCAAGAGCTTTGATCCACAGTATCATACTGACAGTTAAAGCAAGTCTTGCTTTTTGCAAGTCAAAGCAAGACTTTGGACCCAATCCTGGCCATAGCAATGACTACAAAACCCACATCTAATTACTCAGGTGCTAGGAAGCTATAAATTTTCACGAGTAAAATAATCTATGGATGTAATTTCTTTGATGTTGCCTGCCCAGCAACGTTGTTGTTATAGCTGGACATAATAGCTCAGCATTTACTTCGTATCCAAACCCATCTGGGATCCAGGAAAAAGACATCCTTCCCTCTAACACCCTAAGAGACCCAAACTACAGTTTTGTCCATGGTGCATGTCTAACACAAAGTGACAGCATTCCATTCCACATAAGTGAGTTTACCCAACTGCTTATATTCAACCTTGCTTGTGGTCATGGTTTCTGTTTTTTAATGGTAGGCTTAATGTATAGTGCAAGAACTGGGAGACATAAAGTGAATGATTTTCTCAAGCCTGAGAGGGTTTGTCTACCTTGTAGATGTACTTCGTGATTTGGATTTTGGTCTCCAGCATCATGACATATATTGGCAACTTCCCTTCACTCCTAGCAAGTAATGTCATGTTGGTCTTGAACTGTCAGACACCAGATAGGCATAGAATTTCTGAACACATTTGCAACAGATTTATGTCTCTGTTTGGACATCTCATAAACAGTGATTCTCAGTAGTTGCTGTGCTACTATTCAAGCTACTACTTGCGAGTCATCTTGGACCAATTTCTCTCCTCTGCTACCTTAAAAAGAATTAAACTTACTGTATCAAAGCCGAACCTAACCCATGAAAACAAATATTTTTTCCACTGTTAAATAGTTTTCTTATCATATATGTGAATACATAGTTAGCAGTTAACAGAGACACATATATGATGTTGTACATACTTCTTAGAACTACGACTATTTTTCAGTTGAAATATGACTCAGAGATTTCTCTCCAAGGTCATTTTGAAATCTGTATAAGATATCAGCATTTGACTAACAAAAATTCTTTTGGTTGCTAATTTCTTCTCCTTTCTGATAAAAGAAGAGACTTGCTGAAAATCTAGTTACCTAAAAATATACTTTATATGAAGAGCACTAGAACCTACCTATTACAAAGTATCCTTAAATGGACAATCAAGCCCTGAGCAACTGGTTAATGATTTAAAGCAGGTAAATGTGAGCAACGAAAGAAGAATTAAGTTCAGTTGGTGGGTAAAGGTGCCAACCAATATAGACAGGCCCTTCAGCTCTATTACAGATGTCATGGCTACCAAGTACACAACAGCTGGTGGGGATTAGATAACAAGCACTCTGGTTCAGAGATTAAGCTCCTGAGCTTTATGAGTTTACCAAGCGTTTTGGAAGAGTGACTGTTTGCTTGCTAGCAGGGTTTTCCTTCATTCCCACAGCTCTAATTATAAACAGTTGTTCACCTCAAGAGAAACTCTAGTCTACTCTTCCATCAGTGCCTGCACATAACTTCTGTTAGCACTGACAGGAATCGCACGCGTGGATCGGAAGGAGAAGCCAAGTCATTGTTTAAAGGAAACATTACGTTGAAAGAGAAACAAAGACAGCAAATTCTCAGTAAGAACTGAGATGTTAAAGCCCTTATTCATCAAGATGAGTGTATATCCAATCTGTTTGGATTCCCAGCACCTGATGAGTGGTACAGCTTTGAACTTAATAGCATAGATCAATGATGTGTAGCAAGATAAATTTAAGATATTAATTGTATAAGGTCCTCTTAATCCTTAATAATAAGGTTTATTTCTGCCTAAAACACTTTTATTTGTGAGATTTTCTCTTGTTTGCAGATTAATGTGCAATTTGTTATTTGCCACGAGTAGTCTGGGAAACTGTGGGCTAGACATAATGTCTTTTGCATCTACCATCACACTGGTTCTCCAGCTTCAACCCTCTCCTTCCCCAGATGGTAAGATATGCTGCCATCCTTCCCACCTTTGCAGTGTCAGTTTGGGAGAAATGTGAGTGTTCAGCTGACGGAGAAGACCAAAGGAAAAAAAAAAAGAAGACGAAAGGAAAGAAAAGTCTCTGAATCAGTGCTATTTTAGGATTAATTTAGGCAATTAATCTTTTGATACTACTTCCTATGCTATGAATCTGGCAGTAATACTCCTGGCCCGTTCTTCCTGATAGCATTCTGCAAATTATAGAACCTGACTGCCATAAGGCACTTATGAAAGAGTTTCAAAAAGCCAAGGAAAATTATACCCTGGAGAACAAACCTCATACAGATGGGATCCATCAGATCTGAATGCCCTCTTCTCATGGATGAACCCCATTAACATTAAAAGAATCTGCCTTACAGACGTATACATGAGCTTTAACAGAAAGTAAAGGAAATATAATAAATAAAAAATAATTTAAGCAGAAAACAATAATCTATTTTCTAATTGGTTGAAGAGCACATAAAGTATTTTCTCTAGAACACAGGTTTGTTTTTGATTAGTTTAAGACATCAATTCAAAACCAGGTACAGGCTAAATTAATTTGAATCTATCCATGATACTGGTTATCATCATATGCTCTGACTGGACAACGTTGTTAAGCTTTTTCTGGCCTTATTTGAAAAAAAAATCCATTATAAAATATGATCAACTTGCACCTGTCCAAATAAATAAATCAATAAACAAATGAAACATTCCAACATCTCATTGTTTACAGTGGCAGAAACTCAAATGAGCACCATTCATGCTCTATTGTCCAAGTCAACTGTAATTTGAATCCAACTGTATGGAGTTGAGTTTCTATTGTACCCAATGTGTGGTTCTTTCCTAACAGACTAGTAGGAAGGTTGCTAATTATTAATAGCATGTAAACAGTTACCAATGGATCTTATGCTGCTTTACATACTTTACAGAACATTAATTTTAGCCAGTTTCCAACCAACTATGTCAAGCTGGATGTAGTATCTCTATCTTATACGTCCTACAAGACAAAAAAAGAAGTATTTGCAGAAACTGATCAAGATTCATACTTTTAAAAGTTAAACAGCCACAATTATTTGTTAAACCAAACTATTCCATTCCACATACCCCGGCTTTTGCTTTGATAAAGCTCTGCTCTCATGACAACTACAGATAGTTGCAAAGAAATAAAGGTAGCAATGATCAAGGTTGCTCCCCAAAACAAGAAGCACTTTTGTGACACACAAAAAATCTCAAACGCTTAATCTCTTTCACTTTAATAAATATATATTTGTATATTTATAAAATAGTCCATTTTCCAATGTATAAGGAATGATCAAAGTATCTTTCAATGAAGCAAGAGAAGTAACTGTAATAGATCACTGTGAAATCTGAACACCAATGATGGCAAGAAGAAAGGAATCTATTATTACATTTTAAACAGATTTAAACAAATTATCCTTCAATTAGGAAATGTTCACTGTGATGTTTTACAAAGATTAATATGTCAGCAGTGCTTTTTATTAGTTTTTATCTGTTTAGAATGGCAGTTCTGGTACTCCAATAATTGTGTATCATGAATTTGATTTAGTAAACCTTTAATTGCAAAGTAATCACACTCCAGTTCTGTGCTCAGTGACCAGGTTCTGTCATGCTGCAATGCTGAACTCGTGCATATAGTATGTGCCAATTAATAAAGCTGTATTCCAGGAGAGGCAGCTTGCAAGATGACTTGGTTTCATATTACACAGCAGAAAGATTACTTGCATAAGCACAAAATGCATAATAAAGCCATATCAGGTCAGATGAAACACCCATCTTGCCCAGTATCATCTCTCTAACAGTGGATGCCTAGAGGAAAAATTAGGAATAGAGGAAGCATACAACAATGCTTCCCCAGGATCTCTTCCAGGCTTTGAGAAAAGGCAGTTGAAGGGTTGAAGGACATCAAAAGACAAGTAGCAATCAAATTAAACATATATATATATATATATTTCTTTCTCCTCCTGGAAAAGCAAGCATAAATGATCAAATCTGAACTATTTGAATGTGCCAAATTAGTGTGTCACAAATCCTGCTTATCTCGGCTACAGGTCTGACTTCACAGTGGCACTGACAGCTTTGTCAGAATTACAGCAGTACACTGTTTGCTTCACAGTCACACAGCAACTTGACCCCTTTCAGTTCAAGTGGTTACAGAACAACCATCTGCTGTGAAGCCAGTGTTTGACCATGGATGTGACTTCAGCAGTTGAGATTCCTACAAGCAGAGGGCTCTTCATGATGCTGTTCACATCTGACCACCACATTCTCTGTCCTCTCTCCATCCTTGCAGCTATTTTCTAATACTCTCCCTGCGCATTGCCACAAACCTCTCTTAAACTTTTTTAATACCATCAGTTACAGGTAACTTCTCTGAAGCCTCTAAACAGAATACTTGGCAATTCTTGATCCAAACTACGCCTGTCCCCCGCTAAAATGTTTGGCGACTCACTCCACTTGGAATATAGCCATACTCCAATTTCCTCCACCTGCTTAGGCAATATAGCATCTAAACAGCACTGCCAAACAACTGTCAGAATAAATATGCAAAGGCTAACCACTTTTAGCAGGTCCATTTCAGAGCTGGCAGCCAGCATCTACAGATTACCCCCAGGTGGCTGCCCTTACTGCAGAAAGCCAAGAGGATTTAGCCCAGTCTAGGGAATAAAGAAGGTAAAGGGTGAGCTATACTAATAAAGCGAATGTTTGGTAAAACACCAACAAACAAGCCCTGACTACATGTCCTCAAAACTTGTGTTAATCTCCATGACTGTCTCCTTGTGTGGGTACTTCTTCCTTCCTCCTGTTAGCACACGGTAAC